AGAGAGAGAGAGAGAGAGTATTTGAACACTATAGTATATTTAAGAAACAAGAAAAACAACATAGCATTAAAAACATCACAGTATGTGTACCACGTAAACAAGAAATTTATAGTGTCATGTCAACAAACTGTGCAAATTTGTATCTTTGATTATATAAACAATGAAGATACGTCATAAAGAAATTTTCCACACATTGTTACCAATAACAATATCCTTGTAGTTTACTTCATAAATTTCAGTATTTTCAGCCAGGCGAATTTCTTTTCTGTCTCACTCCAGAATTCTGCATATCTCTCCATTATGCATGAGAAGGGACAGAAACGGAAAGTAAAAGGATTCCAATGAAATTGTGTACCATATTATATTCATTAAGAAGATGGTATTATTAACATTGAGGAACCATTTGGTCCTGAATAGGTAGAGAGCTTTCGATTTGTTGTTCCTAAGTCATATAGACGGCCTAATGAAGCTTGTCAAAAGATCTCGAATCATTTGCATTGATAAACATTAAAAGCTATGTTTGTAAATACTGCTGACCTTGTCAAACCTGTCCGATGGTAGTAAATCTCAATTAGAATATGATGATAAGTAATCTGCAACCTATTCCTGCAGGTAATGAACCAATTAGCACTACAATGTTAAATTGTTTGGACTCTTGCCTAAAACCAAGTCCAAGGTGAAATTAAATATGAAATAAATGCGTTGGACCGAAGTTTAAGACTGTTGATTATTATCACACCACATATTGAAATTTAATCAGGTAAATAAAAGGTCGTATATGGTTCGCATGAAAAGAAAAGCTTTACTGACAGTTCAAATAAACATAGACATTCTATAGTAATGTTTATAGTTTAAACGTTTCACACACATATTTCCACATACAACAATATAGAATAAATAAAGGATATATATTTAAACAACATTTTGTAGCAATACATTCAAAATAGGCATGTCACAACCGTGTGAAGAATATTTTTAAAGAAGAGGTTATAGACCAGGTACATGGAAATATTGCATGGGTTTACTAGATGTTAAACTCTTTATTAAAAATGTGTTGGTGCATCATTAGTTGATCATATTTGCTTTATTTAAATAGATATGTGGGCACCATCACGTCAATGTGCAAACTATAAATAATTATATACTTCAAAAATATTATTATTGTTTTCCGAATGAGTTAGTAACACATACAATAACCTTGGTGTTTACCTGAGAAATATTATTTGGTTCAGGTGATTTCAAGACTTCAAATATAGTCTAACTCAGTCGGTATATCTTCATTTGGTTTGATTTCATACCAAAGAATAAAACCTTTATTTAATTCTCACTGGCATTCAACAGCTGCATTGAACACGTCATATAGGCATAATTATGTACAACATGTGTTCCAAACAAATTCTTATATCAGACTATTTGTTAATAACAGCCACTTGAAGGTGTTAGCTAAATTACGGGCTTCATGTCCACCCCAATAAATAATGAAGTTGGTAAACATTTTGCAGACAAGTGACTTGAAATGCTATGTGACTCTCGTGTAAATGACTATAATGAATATTAATATTATTTTATTTTAATCTGTACAAACTTTAGCACGTACTGAAAAATACCCTGTTAATTCCGTGTATAAATTAATCCATCTGAGAGTACCTTCCTCTAATGGAGTCTCCAATGCACAGGTCATTTAGTCTCCATCATGCATTCGCGTATTCATTAGCAAATATACTGCTACAATCTATGTAAATTATGGTTATGAGTTATTGTGCTGCTTTAAGATCAATAAGAAAAGGATTTATGTCTCTACAAGTCTTTTTCTCAACATTATTCATGAATTCAATCGTAAATACAATGGTACGATCTATATAAATTTTGTTCTCTATTTTTCTTTTTGTGCAGATTTGAAATCAATAAAATTCTGTTCTGTTTTTATCTGAACGGAAATTGATTATAAGCTGTGTAGCGAATAGTGCAAATTAATTTAGATTATGTAGATACTCACGTAACTATTATTAAGAATTTCTCAAATGATATTATTGAAAATTAGGTGATCTCAAATATATAAATCGATGTGATAAAGAAATTCGAATAATGCAGTCAAAATAAAAGTGTTCTTTAATTAAAAGGAAGGGTTACATTCGTTTACAATATCCAATATAACTATTTCGACACAAACATAAAATGGTAAATGTTATATAATTCGTAAATCCTGCTCAACACTATTGCAATGAACTAGATATATAGCCAAGATGAGACTTTGCGAGAAGAGTAGACAGGTATACACGTGCATAAATGCATATCTAGGACCTGATGTATATAAAAATCTACACATATGTATGTTTGTATGTGTACAAATGTGTACATAATTTTGGGGTCTCGTTATAGATACAAACCTATATAAAATGATTTAGAAAACATTCTTTCTGAAATTTACATTCATCTTGTTTTGGAAGTCTGGCACCTTGATTTAACTTATATTAGAAATCTAAATTAACAAGTTTTCCTTCAAATAATATCTAAGGAATAGATCCTTGTGTTTGAGTAATAAACTGAGTGGGTTGGGTTGCGTCTTTCATGAAATGTAGAGGGAAAGAGAAATGAAAGAAAGGTTAATGCAAATTCGGTGAAGATACAAAGAGAAAATATAGATTTAGAGAGAAATAGGAAAGAAAGAAATGGGACTTCAGTGAGATTAAATAATTAGCTGTAAAGAATAATATCGTTTACATACACATTGTTATCAGATATATTAATCTAAATCCTCGTTCACAAAAACGAAGTAAAACCAAATTTTCTTTCGTTCTAAAAACAATTCTTGGAAATGTGTCATATCAAAGGTTTTCCTCAATTCCTAGGCAATGACGTAGCTGGGCCTATGGTTGTGCTTGATTCACTTATAAATGGCAAGACCTTCTTTGGATCAGAAGGTTGATTAGTTCAAAATGAAATCCCTGTTTATTGCTCAACTTGTGCAATTACTAGCGATATGGAAATAATAATCAGACAATTATTCACATAGCCGACACACTATGTGGTCAGACGTGTGAGGATATCTCTTTTGCTATATTATTCATCATTGAAACTATTTTGTTCACAACGATTTTGTTTTACTACTCAGTTTCTTCATTCTAATCAGACGATTGTCCTGAGATATCCAGTTCGTTACAAAAAATTTTGAAAGAAAGTGAAGCTACTGATGTGCTTATACTTATTTCTTAAAAGTGGCATCCCGATGAGAAAATGGAACCAACTAAATTACCCGCTGGTGATGAGTGGATAGTTTGCTATCCAATTATGGTTCATATGTATAGACCGGATATTCTTAGTCTTGCCCATGGATCTCCTTTGATTAGTCATTTAGGCGTCAGTAAGCCTTATTACTTGATCTTGAATCATTGAATCATTTTTCAGTGGTTGATAATTAAACTTAATGTTTAAAAGTACCGGTTATCTTGGCTAACAGGTCAATTGTCACTAAAACCTAGTCAGAATCTAACCATTGATGCAGAATTGAGAAACCCAGTTATATACTGTGTTGGTTTCCTACATAATATTAAGTCTAAGAAATTAAGGTATGATAGAAATACAAAGGAAAGATTTTTCAGTCTGTTCATAACAAATTGGACTCTCTTGATCTTTCCTTAAAATCCCCTTCAGGTGAATAATTATTGTATAAATACGGTTATAAAGAAACTGACGTTAATTACACCATTCATAGTACTGAGATCTTAATATGTTAAATGAATATGATGATAGAGATAGCCCTGTTCGTCATTTTATTAATTTGTATGTATCTGTCCCTTATTGGGGATTTAAGCGATGGTATGAAATTGGACTGCATTGAATTTGAAGTAACTTATCTTACAAATTTGAAATATTGAATAGTCTAGACCAAACCATTTCACATTACAGCACTAGAAAAGAATAAATTAAAATGGTACTACTTGAATATAAGCACTTCTTTCCAACGTTCCAGGAGAGGGCAAATAAAAGTCTACTATGACGTAGAAATTATAGACAGCACAACTGGAAACAGCATCTATACATACATGGTGAACCCTCTCAAACATGAATGTTTGATGCAAGGTGATTTCATATTTGCTGGACAACGAGTTTATTAAAGCAAGGAAAAGTCAATGGAATACACCATTTATCATTATGACAAAACCAGATAAATCTGTCAGCATCTGCACTGACTATTGGAGAGTGAACGGAACGAACAAAAACATTGCTAGAATCAACGACTGCATTGACTAAATCGAAAATGCAGAACATTTCTCCAAATTTCGTTTGACTTTTGGAAAGAATTCAAATTCCAATCTCGGAGGTGGCAAGAAAATTTCGACATTCGTAGCTCAAGATTAATGTTATCAACATACAATTATAGCATTTGTAATAAAAGGCTCGACTTGTACTTTCCAAAGTTCATTGGACATGTTAGCATATAGTCTGGATAATTGTGACGCTTACATCGACGTTATCATCATCTACAACATCAGAGGACAATATCACTTGGAAATCATCCAGAGTTCCTTTGATATACCCAGGAATGAGAATTTGACAATTAGTTTAACCAAAATTAAGTTTTGTCTTAGATGTTTTCTGTTTTCAGCACATATTGTGGGAAACAGTCTAGTTACACCTATGTACACCTATTAGTGAACAACAAAGTATGAGATTTTTGCGCATGGATCCTGCATTTTCTACTTCATCATAACCTTTTATATCAATGTTATTTAGCTGAAAAATTCGTCATCCCTGTCTTAACATCACAAGACGATTCAGCATTAGTTTTGTTTCCTTTTTTCCTAGATATAATATATTTATTCAAATTGTTGTTGACTGGAATAACAAATTTCGCAATAATGGTCTTGAAATTAAATATTATTTTGCACTTATAGTGAATACACACAACGAACCATACTGATTACAATGTAGTGAACTGTGATTATGAGAGTGATACATTATTGACCCAGCGTAAATGCCGTACATATATTTTATTTACCGTTCCGGTGGCCTAATGGTTAGAGCGACCGCCTCAGAAGCAGGAGGTTGTGGGTTAAATCCACGTTCGAGTCATACCAAAGACTTAAAAATGGTACTAACAGCTGCATCGCTTGACGCTCAGCATTAAAAGGTTAGTGTTAGAACTAGTCGGCCTGGTATCAGGATAATGTGACTGGGTGGGACATAATGCTATATGTCTGCAGAATGATGCCCCAGTGATAGACATCACTTTAAACTGCCACACTGCAGACATCGTAGCGATATGACTGAAAAATTGTTAAAGCTACGTTAAAAATCATAAACACCACCACCACAACAACAATATTGTGATATATAAAAATACAGTGAAGACCTCAAAACATATCTACCAATACATACTACTGGCACCTTAGCTAAATTTCATGTTACACACACTCACAGACACAAACATATTCAGCTTTCAAACTTGTTGTGAGGTTGGGAATACCACTGCAAAATGTATTGGAAATCCAGGTAATGAGATTTGTAATAGACCATACTGAGCCATTATATAATATATAAACAAATATATAATATTCACTTTTCATTTACTCAATTAAATCTAATAGTTTCATAACAATTAGACTAAAAAACACACGCAAAAAAACAAAAACCACACACACAGAGATATAAATACATACTTACATACACACACATTTATACATACATGCATACATACATACACACATACAAACATATATACATACATACATACATGCATTTAAACATACATATATATATGCATACCTGCATACCTAACTACCTACCTACCAACCTACCTACTTACCTACCTAACTACCTATCTACCTGCATGCATGCACACATGCATACATACATACATAAATAGATACATACATACATACATGCATACATACATACTTTCATACCCACCTACGTACCAATCTACCTAGTCTCCGACCTACCTACATACATACATACATACATACATACATACATACATACATACATACATACATACATACATACATACATACATACATACATACATACATACATACATACATACATACATACATACATACATACATACATACATACATACATCCATCCATCCATCCATCCATCCATCCATCCATCCATCCATCCATCCATCCATCCATGCATGCATGCATGCAAACATACATACATACATACATACATACATACATACATACATACATACATACATACATACATACATACATACATACATACATACATACATACATACATACATACATACATACATACATACATACATACATACATACATACATACATACATACTTACATACATACATACATTCATACATACATTCATAGATGCATGAATGTGTACGCAAGTCCGTGTTTATATACATACATGCATGCATGTATTCATTCATACGTACGTACGTACGTACATACATACATACATACATACATACATACATACATACATACATACATACATACATACATACATACATACATACATACATACATACATACATACATACATACATACATACATACATACATACATACATACATACATACATACATACATACATACATACATACATACATACATACATACATACATACATACATAAACACATAAACACATACATACACATACATGCATACATACATCCCTACATCCCTATATACATACATCCATACATTCATATATCCATACATACATACATACATACATACATACATACATACATACATACATACATACATACATACATACATACATACATACATACATACATACATACATACATACATACATACATACATAAACACATAAACACATACATACATACATCCCTACATCCCTATATACATACATCCATACATTCATATATCCATACATACATACATACATACATACATACATACATACATACATACATACATACATACATACATACATACATACATACATACATACATACATACATACATACATACATACATACATACATACATGCATGCAGACAGACAGACAGACAATCAGAAAGACAGACAGACATACAGACATACATAGCTTGAATAGTTCGCATTCTTCGTTGTGTCAGTAGCTCAAAAATTATAATCCATTTTTTTTCTCTATTGGGCATTCATTACTGTCGAATTGTTTGATTGTTCGAAATATTCTCTCAGCTATGAATATGATGTCCATCTGTTTCCTTAACGTTATGACGTCAGTATCTAAATATATGTACTGCTGGTCATGCACATATGAGTCATAGTCGAAGAGGGATAAAATATAACAACTAGAAAAATAATTTTTTGGCGTTATTCTCAATATTATAGTCAAAGGTGTATTTAGGGTGTCAACTTATAGGACATTCGCTAGCAACGAAACATCAAGTGAAGAAAGAAGGTAAGATCTTATTTTGAAAAATCAATCCAAAGGATTATAATCATCAGCTATTTTATTGTGTTGTAGTTACATCAATCAAATAAATTAATATATAGCATTATAAACAAGTATTACGATATGGTTAATGATTGTTTTATTTTAATGTCAGTGGATACAACCTGCTAATCAGTTACTGCAACAAGTCATTTTTTTTTGTCCATGACCAAGAAACTTGATAATCAACTGTAGACGGTCAAGTATTAGCTTGACTATTAGAATGGGTCTTGTGCATCTCCGTATTAGCCCTTTACCGCACATACATACATACATACATACATACATACATACATACATACATACATACATACATACATACATACATACATACATACATACATACATACATACATACATACATACATACATACATACATACATACATACATACATACATACATATTTTATTTACATACGGATTGAGTCGGTAGACGTTGAATCAGGACTTTGAAATTCCTGTTGACAAGAGAAGGTGACACTTGGAGCGAAAGATACATAAAGTGGATAATGTGTGTAATATACAACGTGTTGGATAATTGAAATCACACAAAAAGAGATGCAGTGAATAATATTGGCTTATTTCTATTTTAGGTCTGAAGAATGATGCACATGTCACTTATATTAATGTCTCTTGTTTCGATGCACTGTATCCAGTCACAAGGGTCCATTAATACTACGGAACAAAGCATCCAATCACCATATTCCACTACTCAAATTGAACATAATCACAATTTACGAAGCAACCACACCATAATAGATATTTGGACTGCTGGAAATACAATGTGTAGGCCAAACAACATTTGCAATTTTCACCAGAGCACCAATTATAAGTGGTGCTATACTGATTACAGCGACACTTGGGATTATTGCTGCACTGGATCGTGCGGGTTTGACGGTACTACATACTTGTGGTGTCAAACTGGAAAAAGATGGACATATTGTGGAGGGTATCATAAACATGATATCCAAGGGAGACAATGTCTTCTAACATTTCCATGTGGATTGCACCAAGAAGTCCCCGGAAAATCTCAGAGATATTATTGGTGCTACGTCGATTTGGCTCTTAATTGGGACTACTGTTGTGTACCATGGAACAAATGCGATAAACGTGGTTACTCCTATGACTGGTGCTATATCGTTAATGATGTTTTGAGCGACGTTTGGAAAAAATGTATACCTAAAGATTGAGCAAACATTTCAGTACCTGACATCCAAATCGAAGACTTTTCAAGCAAATTGCAGACTCCAACCGTGTGTGTGTGTGTGTGTGTGTGCTTGTATGTTCATGTGCTAGTAGCTCCTTAGTTTCACCGACTTACAATACGTTTTCTCATTTAAGACCGACTCAACGTAATTGTAATGTATGTGAACGGATCAGTTCGGTCAATAAAGCAATTATGATCAAAAGAAATGTATTGGTTTCTCTTCCACCTATAAATATTGATACTGCCGTATATAAATTCAATGGGGGGATGACCTGGTCCAGTAACATGATGGAACTTTATATCACTAATCTTCTTTAACTCCTCCATGCCACAGATAAAATGGCTGTTTTGTAAACATTGCTTTTCTTGTCTCAGTCTAGATGTCTCTGTCTGGTCGGCTCAATCATTATGTCTACTCGATATAAATTACTTTTAGAAAGATAAAACCCTTGTTGTTTTTTCCTGTGGATAACCGAGTTAGAAAAATTAACAAACATTTTTTGACTCACACAGGTGGCGCTCGCCAGTTATTATGTAGTTTTGAGCGAGTGATGTATATAAGGTGAAGTTGTTTGCATTTTAAACATGCATAGTGTAGAGAATGTTGGCATACCTATATACTATTTTCATGTAATGTGGATGAAATTTCTTTGAATATAATACTTTTGGGAATTTTAAATGATTTTAGGACTCTGATAACTAAAATGACTGCTACCTTGTGCTCCAAAAATCAACCTAAATTTGTCTAAAGTACACTATACTTGGCAGCTATTAAAATATGGAAAATGAATTTTGCCAAACTAGATAATACCAGCTTCTAAAAGTGCAATGACTGAATTACCAAATATGTAAAATGTAAAAAAACGTTATTGGCTCTTTTTTTACAATTTACCTCTGAATTTCGAGAAGTGGAAATGAGCAAGTAGAGCTAGCACTTTTTTGAAAGGTGCACATCTGGAGTAAGGCCAAGCTGTATACTCTCTAACCCATATTACACCCATCAATAATACATCAAAATAAGGGGAATTAAAGGTTCTTTGAACAACACCTAATATATACAGTCTCTTTTTAAAAAAACAGTATAACTAGTGAGGAAACCCGGGGAAACTTTTTTCTTTAAACATTTAACCCTATGCTAAATACGAAACTGTAGAGCGCCACCACAGATATAGCAACGTAATGTCTCCCCATCTAGATAACACTTTATAATGAAGATTCTAAAATGCAAACTGAACATAATTGTATACAACGTTCAGATATTTGATACAGTACAAGAAACCATAATTCGTTCCGCATATAAAGGTGAATTTTATCCTACCTGTAGGTCGAGCTCAGTTGATATTCCTAAAGGAACATAGTTGGCTTTAGGTACGTCGTGTGAAGCGAGTAAGATACTGATAGCTACCAGTAATGACGTTGACATGCACATTTCC